AAATATAATGCATATAGATGTGTGCATTATATATATATATATATATATATATATATATATATATATATATATATATATATATATATATATATATATATATATATATATTATATATACATATATATGTATATATATGTATATATATATATATATATATATATATATATATATATATATATATATATATATATAAATATATATATATATACATATATATGTATATATATGTATATATATATATATATATATATATATATATATATATATATATATATATATATATATATATATATATATATATATACATATACATGTACATATATATACATATATATATATATATATATATATATATATATATATATATATATATATATATATATATATATATATATATATATATATATATATATATATATATATATATATTTATTTATATCTATACATATACATGTACATATATATACACATATATATATATATATATATATATATATATATATATATATATATATATATATATATATATATATATATATATATATACATATATATATATTATATACACATATATATGTATATATATATATATATATATATATATATATATATATATATATATATATAGAGAGAGAGAGAGAGAGAGAGAGAGAGAGAGAGAGAGAGAGAGAGAGAAAGAGAGAGAGAGAGAGAGAAAGAGAGAGAGAGAGAGTGAACAGTCTCTTTTTCTATCTCCCCCCCCTCCATCCCTCTGCTCCGGGAGGCCTCGATGCCTGACAGGTCGAGACAAAGCCGGACGCGCGCACAGGTACAAAAACATCGCTGTTGTGAAAATGTCCCTTTGACTTATAACGTTCCTTGAAACGCAAAACTTTCCTTAACTTCTTTTCTTAGGAGGGAATATAGAAGATGTGTGTGGGAGGGGGAAGTGGAAAATGAAGAGAAGGTTGGAGGAAGAGGATGGAAGAGAGATGTGATAAGAGGAAAGAGAGTGCGTAGGAGAAAATAGAAAAGAAGGGTTGGAGGAGGTTGGAGGGGGAGTGTATGTAAATATATTGCATGTTTTTCCTATCGCCGTTGATAGTATTGCTATTGCTGTGAATTCTATGTACTCATTCTTATATTCATATACTAATTTCTGCAGTTTGTATTATTTTGCATATAATTCAATCGCAACAAACACATACTGTCACACGCAATCATAAACACATATATGTCCTCTCATCACCTGCCTGCTTAACCCATTCTTGTCACTGTATGCTGATGCGATAAGGTTAAGACACTGCCTTTACAGCTCCATTATCACGTCAATAACGCACAAACGAAGATGTGTGTATTACCCTAAGTCCCCACGTATTATTTCGTGTATGGCCTCGCCTTCGAGCCTTACGACAGGTGGATTAGCCTTTGAACTTGAGCCTCACCTCGCCTCCGAAGACGCACCTAGCCTGCATCAAAATTCTCCCAGCCAAGTGGTCATATCTCCAGTCCTCTTGTCGAAATGTCCTCAGGACTTCTCGTTGCTGAGCTCCGACACTGGAAGACCTGTTGCTGACCCCTCAACTACGGGGATATTCACCGTCGTGGTGCAGACAAAGAACCATCAGCCACGGATACTGACTACCGAAACTCCTCTCCTACTCCCGCTGCTTTCCTCTGCTGACCCATCGACACCCCTCCGCTCATGAAGACAAAGCTCTCCACGCCGCTTCCTCGCCTCCACGGCCTCGCTCGCCACGCCGCTCGACTCCGGATGCCAATCTTTAGCCTCTCTTTACGTCGCACTTTATTGAAGACTAAGCTTTTTTAGTCTATATATCATTTCAGAAGAAAAAAAACAAAAAACATATAGATATTGACCATTATTAATTCATTTCAGTTTGCAGAGAAAATCATGATGAATGTTACTATTATACTACTGCTTACTTTTCAGTAAAATCACAAACTATGACTATATACTCTTTCACTAAGAATTCTATTTATTTTCTTTATTCATAAGATTAGTATAATAAAAAGATAAGAGAGCATTGGTGGAATCTCTGGCCATAGATTTCATAGATCAATAGAAATAAAAAATATATATATACATATTTTTAGATAGTATATCTTCTTTGGGGTACTGTAATTCCAAAGAAGACTAACTTTGCTTCTGACTGCCTGAGGGACTACCTGAGGGTGAACTCAGTATTAGAGTTGCTGCCTGAAAACGTCCTTCCTTTGGTGCCCGAGAATGACAGACGCATAACTGGCATGTCTCGGTGCTACGACAACGAAAGCAAAGGCATAAGAAAAACTCGCCCCTATTCTTTTTGCATGAATTGCTCACATCCTTTGGTAAACATTTACCATTTGTTCATGGAGACAGACAGAGAGAGAGAGAGAGAGAGAGAGAGAGAGAGAGAGAGAGAGAGAGAGAGAGAGAGAGAGAGAGAGAGAGAGAGAGAGAGAGAGAGAGAGAGAGAGAAGGGGGGTTGAGGAGGAAAAAAGTATCATTTAAAAA